CCTTTCACCTTGGACCTAGTGAGCTAGCAAAGGTCACTACAGTAGCTCGTGGATGAACGTGGTGCCGAGCAATCTCAAGTATCCTGCTTGGTATTCATCACGGTGAATACAAGACAGAATACGCAAGGGAAAAGTACCCAAAAAAAAAACAAGCTATCCATGGCATTATGTAGGACCGTGAGCCCACATACAACCCCTTGCTAATGAAAGCTAGAATCATACCGCTCGGTCATTGACTACAACGGACGCTGCTTGTTGGAAAGGAGTCGCACTTTGCGTGTCTATGAGGCAACCCAGCCCCTTCTCTACCACCACCAAATGCACCTGCCATACAGATGCAGCTCTTCACGTTGAACATTGATTGAGTGGATCGAAATTGCTAGCAATGGTTTTTCATTTTGCGTCGTATATATAGTTGGAGCTGTTGTCCACAGACTGAATATGTACACTCCACACCAAAAACTTCTCCCTCACTCTTCTCCTTTTCCAAATTCAGACTGAAATCATGAATTGAATCCAGAGTAGAGAGTCAAGTTTGTCCCAGTTCCACGCTTTAGATGGGAACACCAGCAGCGGCGCAGGTATTCTGGGACCAGGTGAGAGCGGCAAGACTAGGAAACGTAAGAGTCAGTTCTTGTGAAATCTTGTATTCCCATTCGGGGGACCATTCGGGGAGAAGAGATAAAGAGTCACTTACGCGTCGGCAATCTCGCAGGCGCCGAGGACGCAGTTGGTCACGGCGGTGTTGTACGCGGAGGAACTAGATGGGCATCCAGCCACGTATCAGTCAATGATTCTCGGACGGCACAGTGGACGTATATTTATCCATGTTCCTGAGCAGATGGGGATAAGAAACTCACGCGCAGATGCAGGCAAAGTCGGTCTGGTCAGCGCAGCCCGAGAGGGGGAAGTTATCGACGAAGCATGGGCGCTAAACATCATATATTCTCATCAGCCACATGATTCGAATTGGGAAACATCAAGTGTCGCGTGTCTCACGGTAGACAAACGGGAGGGCTGGAGGAGGTGCTGTGTTTTCATACCGCGCAGTCGGGGAGGAGGGAAAGGTCCTGGGCAGCGACGAGGCTGGCGAAGAAGGCGACGGCGACGGTGGTGAACTGCATGTTGACTGGTTGGTCGTGTAAGACGGTGTGAAAGTGGGCTTAGTTGTTGGTTTATCTTGGTATTGATCTGAGAGTTGGTGATGTTGTGCAATTGGAAGGGTTGATCACGACATCCGGGGATGAAGATGGGTTTATATAGATTGTTTCCCGTTCTCTTCTTAGTCTGATGTCCGTCACTCTTTCTCAACATTACATCGATACTTGCCAAACGTCAGGAACCCATCACGGTCCTCTACCCCGCAAACTACTACCCACATCCTGCCTTTCCCATCTTTCGATGCTTCTTCCCTTGCTGACAGCTAGAAAGCGCTTAGGTTAGGGAGTAAGAATGAATCATTTCCCAATTTCACATGATGCCGAACGAGCACTGAACGCGGGGTTGACCGTTGAGGGCAAGCGAGGAGGAGAGGCGTGAGGAGGGTTTTGCCAAGATGGTCCATCGCGGCATTGGAAAGCAACCCTAGACGGATGTGACGTGCCCCAAAGGACCTGGCCAACATCGGCGACTTTGCCGGATGGAGAACCACGACGGGAGAGAAAGAAGCTTGGAGGTTGAATAACCTTGATTTAGATGATGTGGCTGTACGTATGCTTGTTTACCTCAGCGGGGGGTTGAGGAGGGGGAGGAGAAGGAGGAGGGCATCATGCTAACTTGAACCACGTCAAGTTACCCAGGAACGCCCCTCGAACTAGACTTCAAGACAATGGACTAGAACAGTCCCCCCAGCACCAAAGTATGAGATGAACCTCTAGGTGGTAACGGGGCAGCTTCCTCTCTCTCCTCTTCGCTAACATCTCCTTGGACCATTGACCGGCTCCGAGATACACTTGAACCCGCCTACCTAGTCGCTCGCAAACGGCGGAGACACAGTATAACACGCCGAGAGCCTGGTCAATTAACACGAGCACATATAACGCCACAGCAACTTCCTCCGTTCTGGCCCACACAATTTCGGCCGATCACAAGGCCAGCTTCGGACATGGAGGCATCTCGACCGATGTGACACTGGTTTAAAGTTGCGGGGAAGCTTGATGTAAACCCAGGAATGACTAGCAGTTCTATCCATAGCCCACGAGAGGAGCGGTTCATCTCACGTAAACCGTTTTTATGACAATGGGAACGCGCCTACATACAACCACGTCACTTCTTCCCTCCTTAACCTCCATGAGATCATGACATTGCCCCCCCTCCTCTCTCCTTCGAGAATTTTGCCAGGCACGGCACGGCGCAGCGGTTGCTGGGTGATCGGCTCTGCTGGGAACCTGGATAGGGAGGTGGTTCCTTCCCAAACCTTGCTTGTGGACTTGCTGCAAATCCGGGGATTGCGGGGGAGGGAAGGGTAGAGAATGGGATGGGGGTGGTACTCCGCAATGTGTGAGGTTGCATTCGGAGGGCCAGGGTGTGGCCAAGGACGAAGTTCCTGCATCGGGGGAAGCATCGGGGTCAGTCGAGCCAAGCCGCTCCGCCTGCGGGAAAGGCCATTGAGTGAGAAAGGCACAGTGGCTTGCCGAGGCGAGGCGTTATGAGAGAAGGTGAAAATGGCTTCTGATAATGTGACTCTAGGAAATGTCTTGGTTTTTTTTTCTTTCTTCTTCTAAGAGTGGTCGTGAGTGGATGAAGAGTGGCTTGTTTTGACGGAGACGTGGGCGTGGAGAGTTGTTCAGAGCTCGGGAGCGTTGTCAAATTCGTCACTAGTCGGACAAGGCTTCCCCGCGCCGGCACTTCAATGCCGTTTTTGAATATATAGGATTGCAAGTGCAGGGGTGATTTAAAATGAAGACTTGAGATGTTGACAAGTAACAAATGACATCTTGCTCTCTGGTCAGGTTGGTAAACCGTAAGCTGACAGTGACTGACGGTCACAGAATGCCCAAACCCTCCCAGAGGAAGGAAACGATAGATACTTTGAGGCAAAAACGATTGCCCTACTATTCAAGTTACAGAACAGACATGAATGGGTGCCATATACTTCATTCAAGCAATGGAAATCGAGACAAACTCAGGCTGCGCAACAGACAGATGCATAATAGTAGGATTAAGCCAACTTAACAGAAAAACAAACGGCAAAAGTTCCGAAACCGAGAATCGAACTCGGGGCTATGCCTAACCTCTCACAGAGATGAGAGGGCATCATGTTGGCCACTACACCATATCGGATGTGGGTACTGGTCGGGCTTTGAAATCTGACTACAGACCAAGCCCTCCAGTGGTTGGATAGTGCAGAGCCGATGTTTCAACCCGAATTGTGTTGTCATGGATTGATTGATTGTCTGTGGTCCTGCGTACCTTAAACCATGCAAACTCATTGTAACAAAAAACCAGGCACAAAACTTTCTAACTCAAAGTAAAATGCAGCTCGAATTGAGACTTTCGTCTTGCGTATAGCCTGGGTCAGTGCCATCACAGTCGAACACTGTGTTCCAACACTGTCCCTCAAAACTTTCAAACCTCCAACATCTCATATCTTGGTTCATCTCATCTACCAAAAATACCACCCCCAAAAAAACTCACTTACAGCACCCCCCAAACCAAGGCAAATCTCACAAAAACTACCGTTAAACCACGCTGAACAATACTAAACCGAGCAAAACTCCAAAATAATAAAGAGACTGCTGACCATCTCTCTCTCTCACACACACACACTCCGCAACCATGGCAACCACAACAACCCAAGACTTCACAACCTACTACCTCCAACGCACCACCCAAGAATTCGCAGAGGACCTCGACAAAGTCCGCGCGGCCGACGACTTCAAGGCCGAGTCGCTGTCCTTTCTGATTCATGCTCTGCAGCAGGGCACCGCGCTCTACTCCGCGCGGGACCAGGAGCGCGTCGTCAAGCCTACTACTGTTGCTGCTGCTGCTGCCGCTGCTGCTGCTGCTGCTTCTGTTGTCGCGGATGACGAGGACGTAGACATGGCGGATGCAGCCGCTGCAGTAGCCGACGCGGAGGAGCAGAAGGAGGGCGCCGGTAAAAAGGAAAAGAAGGAGAAAAATGACAAGAAGGAAAAGTCCAAGAAAAGGAAGTCGACTTCTGGTTGAGGACGGGCCACATGTTAGTCTCTTGATGGGAAGGGAAATTTGGGAGGAAGAACGCGAAGCGTTGGGCAAAAAAGCTTTTCTGCATCGCAATGTTCACGAAAAATTACGATTGAACAGTGATTCTCGGGCCGGGAAAGCCTCGTCCTGGTTTTTAGCCGGCACTGGCCTCCTCGAGGGACACCGCCAATATCGCCGGCGTTGAAGCCCCGATCCCGAGAGCAGAGGGGAAAGGACACAAGGCAGGGGTGCAAGCAAGAGAAGAGGTTTCGGGGCCAATGGAAAACGAGGTGGTCCGATTCCAAACAGCTGCATCGAAAGAGTAGAAAGCTACAATCGGTGGTTAGAACCTCATCGCTCCGGTCTGGTGAATGAGACCCGCTGCGCCAAGGACCTGGGCAAAGGTTCGTATGGAACATGAAGGGGTGTCACGAGAAAGTCCAGAGCTAGAGAGAGTACCCAGCATTATGCCAGCAGAAGCGTGACACTGGCGCAGAATACGAATAATGGAATTCGGCTACGAAGCCGTAACAATATCAATACAAAAGAATCTCACATCAGCAAATGCTACTCCCAGCCCTTATAAAAAGCCCCTTAGATAACCATGATGATAATTCAATTCTCCGAGGTGTCATAAGGGTATCTCTAGGATTAAGCATTACAGAAAAAGAAAAAAACGCCCTTCAGCCATGCTTCACACATACACACCATCGCTGTCTAATGCCGTTGTCGACCGCACACTCATTACTGCGTCGTTGCCGTTGTCGTTTCGTATCCGCACTCCATGCCTCTTAACGCGGGTCCTCGGCACTTACGATGAATCATTCGTCGATGACTCAAGACAGCCGATGCGACCGGCGTCCGGCCTCCTTACGCACAGCCCAGCCCTTGATAGCCAACACAATGATGACCCAGGCCATCAAGACACCCACAAGGCCCATGGTCACGGTGTACATGAACATGGCATCTAGGCCGTAGTGCTCCATGCCCTCGACGGTATCGCTAGCCTGGTCCATTGTAAGCTGTTGTTCGTTCGAAGTAAGGTAGGCAAAAGGGAACTTACGCTCGCCATGAAGATGATCCCGCCGGAAATTAGACCAAACGCAGCGAGAAGCTCAGTGGGAGGTCGAGATGGAAGGATGGACTTGGGAGGCTTCAGGTACATGATGACGTATGAAAAACCGCGAGCGAAAGAGGCGCCGGTGAGGAGGTTACCCCACTGCTTGTGAATCATGCTTGAAACCATGGAGTGCTGCGTGTGCGAGCTCATCATGATGCCCATGAGAAGAATCACGAGTGCTGGGATAGGATTGATGGAGAACTCGTACTGCTTCGGCGGCTGGAGTTCCTTCTTCTGCTCTTCCTCGTCGTGGTATTGCTCAGAAGCAGCATCGAGAATCGATGTGTTTAAGAGCTCTCGAACGCGACTCGATTCGATAAGCATGCCGACCTGGTTTCAGGTATTAGTCAACTCTGCGATTCATATTGCCGTTGGTGAGAGGCTTACCAGTCCACCACCGATGAAGAGAACAGTGATTGAAATATGCTCCAGGTCCTGCGCGCTGTATTCTCCTCCCCAGTTTCCAAGATGCTCGAGGAAGATGTTGGTCGATCCGTAGACAAAAATGAGGGCGCTCTCGACGAACTCGGCCGAAGGCCGCCACTTGCCGTCGGCGCGCTTGGGCCGAGCATTCCACGCCTGCCGGAGCAAAGTCAGTAAAACGGTTCCGGACACGGCCGGCAATGGACCGCAGACTTACCCATCCGAGTTCACCAAAGCTACCGCTCCATCGACCCAGGGTCAACAACCCAAGCCAGAAGAAAATGCCGCCCTTGACCCAATGCGCCAAACCGCTGAAGATGCCGTTGCCCTCCTGTGCTTGGTTAGCGTTACGATTCTAGTAAGCTCATTCATGTCACTTACAAAGAACCGCCCATAGGCCACAATTCCTAGACACAAGGTGACAAAACCCAGCAGCAGGATCGTCCTGTCGATCAAGTTGTAGAAAAACAAAAGTCCCTTCAACACGCGTGAAGGCATCTTTCCCGCGACTCTAGCAATGGCCGACCTAGGGTTGGCATTTTCGTTCTCCTTCCTGTTGCTCGGCATGGGCATGGGAAGGCCATCCTCAAGATCGTCCTCTTCCTCGGCGTACTCTTTGAGGTAGGCATCGGAGCTGCGCGGGGACACCTCGTTGGACGATGAAGAGCGGGAATGGCTCCGGAGCGATTCGGTACAAGGCTCAGTGCCCTGCCCACTGTCGTTGGAGAGGCGGTACTCGCTGGCATATCGAGAGCTGTTGATGCGGTGGTGCTCAGCCATGGCAGCCGTAGAAACTGGGATGAATGATTGGTATCCGGTATTGTTAGACGTTTCGCGACTGTCATGCCTCAGAGCGCCAACAACTCTTCCTACAAGGCCGACCAGGACCTGCGCCAAGAGGACCCAGGTTACCAGCCAACCCAGTTTGTGGTGCGCATTGTTGGGGTAGAGATCAGGTGTGCTGGCGTTGTAAATTGTTCCCAGGAGAACTCCAAGCGCATTGATAGCCATAAAAACGGATTGTAGCGCAAGTGTATATCTAGAGCGGGCAATGGAAAGCATCACAGCTGCGAATTGCGTGTAAGTCGGCATACACCTTTCGGCAGGAGCTCGTCAAACTGACCAACTGGCAGAACGAATATCCAGGCGAGCACCATAGCTCCAATGTGCGCGTACATTAGTCCGGCATGGTCGGCGAGTGCAAAGTATGTGGGCGGATAGCTTTTGGAGTCGGGTTTCGGCTCGTCTGCGCCGGGGGCCATGCCCATGTCCATCTCCATGGCGTCGGCGCCAGCTTCGTGAGCGCCGTGGGCAACGACCAAGGGCACAATACCCAGCGCCACTACCGTGGTGATTTGGCTAGTTAACGATCTCATCAAGGGCCTTTTTGCGACCAAGATGTTCGTTGTCGCAAGAGGAGGAGAGGGGTGATATCAGGTTCGGCGATGTCGCAAGGATAATGTCGAACTTGTCCCGGATCTATTCAGACAAGGTATGGTACGGTCGGTAAGAGGTCTGATTGGCGCTTCTTTGCAGATTCGTACGCAAGGAGAGAAGACAGAAGAGTAAGCTTCACGATAATCGACAGAATGCCATGAGCGAGAAGGAGGTCGGGACGCCTTTATTAAACAGCAAGTAGAGTGGGGTCTAGCGAGAAGAGAAGTAGAGGAGTCGCGCCGGCGCCAGCACCGCACCGGAGACCGAGAGAAGTCCTTTTGTGACAAGATTCTTGTGTAGACTTGTAAGTGAGGTACAGAGCCGCGGTGTGAGGGTAGGCCAACGATGACTTCTTGGAGCCGGCGTCGGTACACGGCGATGACATGGCCGGGCTCTGGGTACCTTGGGTCTGGGCAGCCAGAAGTCAGGTCATACCCATGCGCGTTCCCCATCTCCATCGTACTTTATGGGATGGTGCAAGAAGGTACCGGTGGTGTATTGCACATGCTATTGGGAGGGCTTCCTAGAAGTCATCCTACCCACCCCGTGTAAGGTAAGGCGGCCGCCGCGAGAAAGAAGTCACCGACCATGGAAGACGCGAGGCGAGTGGCAGCAGTACTGCGTATGTTCGGCAGCGCGTGTGTAAGTGGTGACAAGTGCAAAGGCCGACTCCGAAGGTTCCGAAGGCATCCACGAGCGAGGGTCCGGCCAAGTCCAGCATCGTCCAGTGACCACAGAGAAGAATTAGGCCAAGAGCTGCGCGGGATGGAAACGGTAGTAACTTGTCACCCACCTTGCCCTTGCTGGCGGAGGTATGTACTCGAGGGATGTACCCGCCCGCCGACCCGAAGCTACGGGAGCTGGCCGGCGCGGGCACGTTGTAACTTGCATGGAGGTGGGAGGAAGTAGCTTGGAGGAGTGACATGTGGACGATGGGCGTGGAAGACGCGAGAGCTTCATTCCCTGAGATTCTTCCTTCTCTCCTCCACGCCGTTACTGATGCAGGTGGGGCAGACACTACGCAGTAGGTACATATCCTGGGAACCTGGTGGGGGTGCGGGGAGCTTTCCTGCACCAGCTTACCAGACTAGCTGCCTTATTGCCAGCGGATTTCGCGGCAGTGACGCCATGAGACCCATGCCAGAAATTTTCATCACCACCTTATTGGAGAGAAGAAGGTTGCGACGAGTGCAGTAGCGTAGACGGGCAGGTAAGGTAAGTACTCACCTTACCTTTCTTTGAAAGAAGAGGGTATCATTCCCGGGAACAATTGCGACCAAGTAGCAGTTTGTACTCTCACTCATCCGATGGCTCACTAACACTTACACGCTTAGTCATCCAAGCTCATCCACCAAACGTCCCTGATCATGACATCAAAGTGAGAACCTCGTTCTCGGTAAGTAAGTGGTTAAAACTCACAAAGGCTCATAATGCGCCACTCATTTCATATGTTAGCCTCATGAAGAAGAGAAGAGAGGACAGTTTCCAGCATTCAGATGTACTCCCTTGAACATGGAATCCGTGACCATGCAGCTAGGTGTGACTCTCCCGGGATCAACGGGGGCTAGGGACGCCAGGTAGTCGAGTGGGTAAGGTAGCGACTGTGCGACTACGGAGTGACAGACCAACACCGAACAAAACAACCTTATCGCCAAGATCACGGCAGCCGAGTGCCGTTCTCCGTCGTTCGATCTTCGATGACCTGCCCTCTCTCTACTTACATGCGGCCTTAAGCACCCCGAGAGACGATTTCTGACCACCAAAGAGTCGAGGACACACGCGTTCGATTCGTGATGCTCGCCGCAGCCACTCGAGCGTCGTTGAAGGAAGGCTCAGTGGATTTGTAAGACACCTTCCCAACGGACCAACAATACCAGTGATGTGTGTCCCACCATGTCAGATTCTTACATGAACGTGGCTTCTGAATACCTCCGTCTGGGCATGGCGGCATGGCAGTTGAGTCACACGGAGACGCGCGAGCTAGCAATCGCCATCTCATAACTCCATACCTATCCCTGCCTTGCGTCGATCTGTAGTGTAACTTCATGAAGGTTGTGTGTGTCCATGGTGTGGTGTGCGTCGTTCCCACTCCACCGATGGGTGCGGTAAGCAGAGACTCAAGGAGGGCCGGCCGCAAGCTAAAATCTCATAGGGCAGAAAACAAAATGTATGTTAATAAGCAGAAACAAGAGGTGCAAGCCCCCCCCCCCATGCCGATGCGGGAAGCGCGAAGTACCGACAGGAACGTCTAATCCAGAACGCAAGAACGAAAGAATGGAAACAAGAAAAGTGTTGGCCGCGCTTCCGAAGTTCCGTCCATTGCAAGCCGCGTCAACTTTTCTGACGCCCCAGCCCTGCTCTTGAACTACTGCAACATTACCATTTGCGACTTGGGCCTCCACCGTACATGTCGGTATCCCGACATGGGAAGTTGAACGACGTCCCGGCGGGCGGCCGAGCCTTCTGCCAACGCGGCGCCAAGAGGGAGCAATTAAACGGACACGGAGGATACTCGAAAGCTCCGTTCAGAGAGGCCAGTTACGGAATTTGCTCACCGGCGTGTCTTACTGTCCCGTAGTCCCCGTAGACTGCCCGGCCATGGGGTTGTGAAACTTTTGAACCTCTGATTTCCTATATTGATGATGATGAACTTGTGTCCCTGTCACTTATACCTATTGTGCTGCCTGCCTGCCATCTGCAATGGAACTTTGCTCTGCTTCTCCCAATGGTCTGACTTGAAGGGAGCCAATGACTTCTCCTACTTCTCTCTGCGCCATGCCCTTGGCCTGAGTATCTATCTTATGTCCAATGTGAGCGGTTGACCGAAACCTGCGCTGAATCATCCCCGCATCAACAGATACCAGTAATGATGATACACTTTGAATCATCACGTACAAAATCGCAAGAGAACTAACACCGCGGTGCGCCTTACAGTGACCGCATTACAAATGGGGACGAGATTTGGCGCAAGCCAACAAGCTGAACATCAGTCAGCGAAAAGAAAAATTAAGGTAACCTCATGAACAACAAGTTCCCGCAACTCCACCAAGTGAAGAAAAAAAACCACATGGATGCAAACAGAAAACCCCACAACACCACATCCAGAAATCCACAGAGAAATCATGCGTGCGCATCCTTGCCTCCGATCCGCCCGTCAAATCCGCGATCCCGCCCTCCTTCTTGGCTCCACATGACAAAAGGTCGGGTAAGGTACATTCGATGTACCTTACCTGACGGGAGGTACTTCTGTCTCTCTCTCTCTCTCTCTCTCTCTCTCTCTCTCTCATATGACCAACCGGGCCTGAAAGTCCACACACCACAGTCAAGGCCCCTCTTTTCCCGCGGCCTGCGGTCGGTGGGCCCGGGAATCAAGTCGGAGTCCGACCCGCATCGACCACGGGGCATCGCAAAAAAGGCACAGACAATGGAATTTTACTTGACATGACGCTAGTTCTGAAGAACATGAAATACCGTTAGATTCTGTGCAATTACCAAATACCTTGAAAACTCACATCTGCAACCGAAGAGCACATGTCGTTGAGAAACATCCAACCTTCACACTCCGAATAGCAAGGTAACTACCTACCTTACGTGGTCAACAACTATGAGCTGAACATACAGAAACATGGCACCCCGCCAAATTTGCATGGGCGTTCTCATGATAGCGGCCAACTAGAGGGTAAGACTGTGACATATCACCCAAAAACCCTAGTTTACACCAATCGCTACACTACACCGCCTTCAACCTCTACTGTGTTAAGCTTGTGTCACAAGATATCGGAACAGCGCATCCGTTTCGATGCTACCAAGAAAAAGAAAGTCCTTGGTAAGATGCAGACCGCAGACGCCGTTTCTAGCCTTCTAGGTGGCGCCCCACTATCATCGTACGTCCCGCTCCGTCACGAGGTTCAACTTGTCCGAACCTTCCGGCGCTCTTGTTGCCCTGTGTAACCTTACCGCAGAGCCATCGCGATGCACCGGGCCCAGCTCACGCAATCTTTTTTTCAATCACCGCCCCCAAGCTCCTAATCTTTACTGAGTTGACGGGAAGCTCTTGTATTGTACTGTACGCTCAAAACACTCCGGCCTATAGCAGGATCATCTGGCTTCTATAATGTGTCCAGCCCTCAAAATCGTGCGGTGCATCTCCACTTCCTTACTGCCCTACCTTACACGGTAGCATGCTGAATCACGGCGCCAACCCACCGTCCTCGGATCCGAAGCTCCGGCCAAGGTCCGCTGGGCCCCGCCGTCTATCATCTACGACGGACTACAACGCCGAACGATCCTTCAACTTCCATCTCTCGCCGCTCTGGACAACCTTGTTTTCCTTTTCGAGCTTTTCCAAGATCTGTATAATCCCACCGCTCGCCGGGATATGCAGCTCCTCAGGAACGTCGGCATAGATGACCTTAACAATTTCCATGAGTGTCCAGGCATACGGATCGCCCTCGATATCAGAGCCTTGCCTCGCCGTCTTCAGCGTACGAATGACCTGCTCCTCTCGGGCCTTCCTGTGGTTGATGTATTCTTGAATCTTGGATGGACCGTTGTCAATCACGGGCCCGTGACCCGGATACGCCCTCCCCTTGAACAGGCGCTGCATTCTCTCGAGGCTGTTGAGGTAGACGGTCAAGTCCTCGAATACGGCGGTGCCCTGGCCCAAGACGTTATCCGCCGTGAACATGGCGTCCTCCTCCTCCAAGACGAAGGCCATGTGGTCGACTGTATGCCCCGGGGTGAAGACAGCGGTAAGGCTGGCCCCGTCGACGGAAAACTTTTGGCCGTCCGAGATATCTGACTGGCCTTCCTCGGGCTGGTTCTTGAAGACCTCGGAGCTTGGGGACAGCTCTAGCAGCTGCTGAATGCCGCCAGTGTGATCATGATGCCGGTGAGTGATCAAGAGTTTCTCAACCGTTGCCTTCTCCTCCTCCAGAGTTTTCTTGACGGCAGTGATCCACGAGAGTTTGCCCTCGCCTGTATCGATGAGTATACGGCGGCTGCCCGTGCCGACGAGATACGTGTTGGTGCCTTGCAGCGTAAACTTTCCCGGGTTACCTCCCAGAATGCGGATGCATGCTGGGCTGAGGCGCTCAACTTCGGGCAGTGACACTAGTTGTGAAGACATGATGTTGGTGTTCTTGGTGCGAGTCAGATGGGCGATATGTCTTGTCCCGGGTGTGGTTGAGGAAATTGGCCGTCTTAGTCACAAGGCAGCGTTGCGATTACATGGGGAAAGCACGCTGAAGACAAGACCCCGCATGTTCCTTAAGGTAAGGTATGCGACAGAGAAATAGCCGCGACGTGACGCTGGGCATCCAATTTGGCGAATAGAACAAGTTGGTGCTACATGTACGTGAAGACGCAATGGAGGGGCAATTGAAGATGCCGAGGTTGAACAAAATGCGCTTTCCGTTAGGTAGGTGGGTAGGTACTTTGAGGCTCGAGACGGCTCCCGTCAGCGGCTTACGTCAGCAATACGATGCAATCGAGAAGACGGAAGTCCACTGAATCCCATCAGTGACAGTGACAGTGACCTCACTGATTTCCAATAATGCGCCGGAGAGGGTCCTGCTACAGCCCCACTTAAAAGTGCTCCGAGGTCCTGTGGGAATTCAGGGGCATAGGGGACTATCGGTAGGCGGATAGGTAAGCAAAAGTTGTTATCGATAAGATACAGACCCCGATCAGGTGCCGATAAGACTGGATTTACTGCCTGTTGGCCACTGGCGCCACGGAATCTACCCGTCTGTGCACCCAGCGCCAGCTCCAACATTTGCAACTTCCAGGGATTGTTTGTAAGGCCTTTGGAACTGTGCCTTCCCGACGATCCTGAATCACTTTGCTCTTTGCGCATGAAATCTGTCGCAGTCTGGAGCCTCTGATTCTTTTTTCTACTTCTGCACAACCAACTTTGGGCTCTTCCAAGGCTGCGACTTGGAAGCGACAACCCGCGCGGACCTTCTCGATCTTCGGCTTGCGCCATCCACCAAAGCTCACCCACCCGCCCACTCTCTGGGGAGCTTCAACACCGGCGCGAAATCGCTCCTTCCGACAGTCCAAACACCCTCTACTTTGCTCAGCATCACTGGCTCGGCTTTTCTAACCGGTAAATTTCACTCTTACTCTGTATTCCCACCTCTTGTATTCTAATTGACCCATTCATTACGACGAATTCGCGGCTAATGGTGAATTTCTAGTAGTATTGTTGCGCTGGACCGACTCCGGCCGTTGCCGATCCGAGATACCTTCCTTCCCCATCGTCGATATCACGAAACTACCTTCTCGGGTTTGGATCACTTTTTGCCTCGGCTTTTTCCCCCATAAGAGGAACATAGCCAGTTTTTTGCTTCTCGGGTGCTCCAAGGCAAGAGCAAATAGGCAAAAGAGCAGGACGACCGACCGCTTAATTAAACAACACCATCCACAGCACACAACATGTCTGCACGACCAACGACGCCGATGTCTCCAAAGACCGCCAAGGTCAAATCACCTCTCCCTGGCACACCGGTCTTTGGCTGCGGTCAGTATACCCCAATTGTTACTTGCTGCGACGGCAGAAATAGCCCAGGGTCAGGCTGACAGGATACAAACAGAACACATACAGCAGCTGTTCACCCGGTCCACGGAGGGCATAACCCAGTGTGTCCACCACTACAAGATGATCCTCAAGAACATCTTTGAGCAGACACCCGTTGTTCCGCAAACGTTCAAGAACTCCGACGGTCAGGTCATGACATCTCTCACATCCAACTACCTCTGTCTACAATGCTCCGCCATTGTCAATGAGGGCGATCGTCTCAAGCACGGCACAAAGAAGCAGCATCGCTTCTGTATGTGGCCCATTACCGAAACAAACGTGAATCTCCTAACAAAGTTTAGACGTCGACTCAAGGAGTGGTGCCCTCTACTGCCAGATATGTGATGACCTAGTCTGGGACCCCACTCTCGAGGAGCTTCGAGTTCGCAAGATGGGAACCGGGACTTTCTCCAGTAAGTTGTCTTCACTCATCACCTCGAAGCTCAAACCATGACTTTCGTGGCACCTCCTTTCTTTGACTCCCAGCTGCCTGACCACATGCTGAGGAACATTCCAGACCGCAAAAGAAAGCACGATGAGATGTTCTCAGATGGTGTAAAGGATAGCACTGCAAGCAACCCAGGCTATATCTCCAACAACACCACCACTGCCTCTTGCAAGGCCAATGGTCTGCGTGGAATCTACAACGCCGGAGCAACATGCTACCAGAACGTAGTGCTGCAGAGCTTCCTCCACAACCCCCTCCTGCGCAACTTCTACCTCAGCGACGGCCATCAGAGCACTGATTGCCAGCTGACAAACTGCCTCAGCTGTGCCATGGACGACATGTTCCAGGACTTCTATGCTGTTGAGAATACTAATGGATTCACGGCGGCTAGTATTCTGTCTGGATTCTGGATCTCAGAGAAGAAGGCGTTTGAGAACCTGGTCACTACTAAGGAGCAGGACGCTCACGAGTTCTTCCAATTCCTTGCTGAGGAGCTGCACGAGCGAAACGGAGATGGTAAGCGTCCCGAGACTGGAAGCGAGCACATGTGCAACTGCATCATCCACCAAACATTCTACGGCAAGCTCCAGACTGGCACTACTTGCCAGAACTGCGGAGGCGTCACGAATGCGGTCCAGTCATTCCTGGATCTCAGTCTCGGACTGGAGAACCTCTCCCACAAGAGAAAGAAGGGTGGCCAGAAGGTGCCCAGTCTGACTCTGCAGGAATGCTTGGACGAGGAGTACGTCAAGTCAGACAAGTGCGAGTACCGGTGCCACAACTGCAGCTCAATGCAGCAGGCGAAGAGAGCAACCAGCATTAAGCGTCTGCCAAATGTTCTCGCGATACAACTCAAGGTATGTCTAATGGCCTGATTAGAGCTTGCCGCCGGCTAACAACCGTGACCAGCGATTCGAGTACAAGCAGGGCCGCCATGACCGCGCATCGAAGATCGAGACGGTGGTTAACTTTCCCCTTCAGCTCAACATGCTGCCATATACTACGAGAGGTAGAGGCGCGGACCCCAAGGACGCCTTTGAGCTCGGAAGATCTTGCACGTACGACCTCCTTAGCGTGGTTGTCCACGTCGGCGAGATTGACACGGGTGAGTTGACATATAACGAACCAATTTGAATACTCATACTAATCGAGCACCCAGGCCACTACGTATCATACTGCCGCGTAGGCGACCAATGGTTCAAGTTCAACGACCATAAGGTCGAGATGGCGACAAAATCCGACGTCATGAGCGCTCAACCCTATCTGCTCTTCTACATTATTCGTTCACTTTCGTAACCTCGTACCGAGAGAGAGAGAGAGAGAGAGAGAGAGAGAGAGAACGAAACGTCTCATGCCAAGCATTGTAAGATATTAATGCCACCAGGTCAAAGGAGATGTACGCGGTGGCGCCGCCGAAAGTATGTCAAACGGGAAGGGGCCAAGGGGCGCTTTGGAATGGCGAAGGGGATGGGCGACGGAGGATCAAGCATCTTGTCGGCGTTGGAAATAAACGTGGGTAATGCATCATCTTGGGCCCTTTGGCAAGGCAAAACACAAAATCCGCATTTTGGATGGCAATCCAAGAAAGGGGCCATCATTGTATAGAACAGCGATCAAGCGTATGTACTTTCTATTGAAATCTCGCAAAACCAAAAAAAAACACATTTGCCCAATTTGGTCCTCATCAGGGCCAGTCTATCATTGTGAAGCTAGCTAAGGTGAATGGAAGGCTGCGTCGCCAGGGTATTCTTTCTATCTGAAGTATTCCCCCCTTTTAGTTTGCATCCCCCTCCCGCCACGTCCAGCCATCGCACTCAAAGCCCGCATAACAGCAAAACTGGTTGCTGAGCCCTCGGGAGTGCGTCGGCTCGTACGTGGCCGTCCTGACGCCGAGGGGCTTGTACACCTTGAGCACGATTTCCGACATGCGTTCGCCGGTGCTGACGATGACGCGGCCCTTTTCGGCGGCGTCGGGCTTCATCATCCACCGGACCGACATGGCGGCTGGATATCATGTAAATATCAGCATGGAGCGACTCTTTGGGTAAGGGCAGGCAGGGGGTTTCTGCATGACTGTGGGCTTACTCTTGGTCTGGCAGTCCTCACTGAGGAAGGGCGGGTCGATGATGATGCGGTCTACGGCACCCTTGAGCTCGCCCGGGAGCTTAAAGGGCTGCGCAAAGTCGTACCAGACGAATTCGGGGAAGACGTTGAAGCGGTTGTCGTGCTCCAGCAGAAAGACCTTTGGCCGGGCCTCGTTCTCGTCCCGCGCAGTCTGTGTGGCCAAGCAGTCAGTCGATAAATCATCCCAGGCTACGGCGTGATCGCCCGCCATGTTAAGCCCAACTTACCAGGATATTATGCAGAGCAACAAACACACTAGGCGTGGACACAATCGCAATCGTCGTGTCCGCATCAGCGCCCTCGAGAAGCCGCCTGGCGTAGAAATCCGCCGTCTCGTCAGAGTACTAAGTGATATCCCAGTTAGACATTTGCAATTCCAGAAAACCTGCAAAAAAAGAAAAAGACAAGGCATCCGATGTCCCATATCAGATGGGAGTTGAGTTGAGTCCCGTCCGTACCCAGAATTGCGACTTGTTCCAGTCCTCCATGAACGCCGCCATGGATATCGGCGCCTTCTTGGCCGCCTTTGCCTCGGCTAGCTCCTGCAGCCTCTCAAACTCCTTTTGGCGGGCATCCTCCTCAGCCTTGAATTCAGCAAGCGCTGCCAACGCGTGCGAGGAGAGAGTACTTTGCGGCGCAAGAAAAGTGTCAGTCTTTGTGTTACTCGGTCGGTGGAGAATGGGGTGTAAATTTTTTCTGGGCTCATGAGGGGGAAGGGTTCATGGCTTACAGAGGTTCGTCTTCGCTGTCTGAGATACTCATCTTGGCTGTTCCTTTTTGAGATCAGAAAAATGCTGGATTTTTTGTTTGACAAGGAAAATAAAATTCCACGCGAAAATCAGCCGCCAACAAAGAAAGATTTTGAGATAACGACTGCAGTGACCAAGAGGTTTAAAAAATTGTAAGAGGAAGAATGAGTCGTAATGTCAGGTGAAAAGGACTGCTAGGTCTGTGTCAAGGACCCAGTTTGAACCGTCAGAAACTACACTGTTTCAACGAATCAGCTTTGGCATTGCAGACATCCCAACTAATGCCAACACAACGGAGCATAAGCCACCACTAGAGAAGCGTCGCACGTTTAAGAGATGGTATTCAAACTGTACATGGATTCCTCGACTTTTGCAACTCTGTCTAGCTGACTACTTATATACACTCTAAACGACTTGCTTGCCCAGAATCAATCCCCTCCAACAAATGAAACCCAGGCTTACTGGTCGTCAAGAACGTGCAGGTACTTGCGCTCCTCCTTCTTCTCCTTCTCTGTTGCAGGGGGCAGGTCGTAGAAGTTGGCACTGCGGAAACCTTGCTATAAGGAAGTTAGTACAAGTTGCTGTTGTAGAGATAATTGCGAGCATCCTTACCAGGTAGTGGTATGTGAACTTGCTAATGTCACCGGGCTCGATGCCGAGGTCCTTGAATGTCTTGGCCGTCTCGTCAATCTCCTGGTCAATAAATTCACGCTCAACCTCGTCGGCAGACATAGTGTGCCACCAAAGATACTTGTTCAGGAGACCGGCGATAGGCTTGAGGACAGCCTTGGGGAGGTTGATGTGGCGGCGCTTCTTGAAGATTTCACGGTCGGCAAACTCGGCAATCTCGGCCATCGAGTACTCGTTGGGACCGTAAAGCTCGTAGGTCTGACCTGCTGTGCTATCGTCGTAGAGCATGACCTCAAGAGCCTGGCCAACATCGATGGACTGCAACTGTTAGGCCTCGTGTAGGGTAGACGTCATCACAGATAGCTTACGTGGACAGGTCTGAATCTCTCCTGCATGTTGTTGGCAGTGAAGAGGTTCATGACGTTGGCGAGCTTCAAGAGGAGGTTGTCTTCGAAACCGAAGACGGGTGCCGGCCTCACGATGGTGGTCTCGGGGTAGATGCTGCGAGCGACCTGCTCACCACGGGCCTTGGTGCGGAAGAACTCGGATGTCGACTCCAGGTTGGCGTTGTAACTGGAGACGTGGATAAAGCGATCGACATCGTACTTGGCAACAGCCTCAGCTATCCGCTCGGTTCCCTCGACATGGACATCCTCGAGGGAGTAGTTCCTAGGCGATTTCTTAGCCATCGATCTTTAAGTGCCCCTCGCTTTGTGAACCTACTTGGTGGGGTAGTCGCGGCCGACCAGGTTGTAGACAACATCGGAATGTCTGACGCTCTCCTCGATCGATTGGGTGTTGTAGAGGTCGTACTCCTATAGCCATCTCATTAGTCCCTGCTGGACTACAATCCACCGCATCGGAAGGGAGACCATACAAGGAAGACAACTCGGCCAAGGTCACCAGAGACCTTCAAGTGGCGCTTGGCCATCTCCTCGCGGAAAGGAATGACAACAGTGCATCCTTGGCGAGCTATTGTACTCGGTCAGAATTGCAGCAGCGATTCGTGGAGTGTATATTCGTACCGAGCCTGTTCACGATGTACCGTCCAACCTGTCCCGTTGCGCCGAAAACCGTCGCAGTGTGTCCTATACTTCGATCTTAGACAAAAGTTCCGTCGTCGACTGTTCGATCAATGCATACCACCAAGAGAGTGTCTAAATTCAGAACCGAGTCAGATACAGCCCATAGAAACGCAATTGATTGGTATGCCTACCTTCCGCCCTGGGTTCGCAGGATGGGCTTGCCGGTACGGGTAATGGCAACATCGGAGATGGGCCTGCTTCTCAAGGCATTGTGCGCGACCTTCTGGGTCGACCGCACGGCGGTTTGAAAGGAGGCCATTTTCGGATATCGAGGCTGCAACAGATAAGTGCGGTGGCCTCTCAATTGACTCGCAACTGAACGCTTCTTGACCTGCCGAAAGCTCCAAAGTCGCGAGCTTCATCCAGAATCCCGGACGGAAGGTGAGCGGGTCACGTGGAAAGCAAGTGCACGGCCCATTCCATGGTCATAGGATCGGAAAAACAACCATTGGTTATCGTGTCCCAGAGCGGGTCTCGACCAGAAGCATCCGAATCGGTGCTGCGCTACGTACCTCTCTACCTTAGCTGACTGACCAGGCTGCTAGCTAGCCGCGTTATGTGCATCGCCCCTCAGGAGCTGCTACTACTGCTGCTGCTTGCATTCATCAACACATTCACACAACCACCAGACGAACTCCCCGGCATTTTCCACGACGAAAGTCCGCTCCCGAGCCTCAATCCTCCTGACTCTGAAGCTGCTATCTGAGGAAAGAACTGCCACTTGGTCTTTCTTTCACGATTCTGTCGTCATCCTCAACCCCTCCGAAGCTCACACCCACCGACCGAGCCCCAAACTCGACCTCCCACCAAAATGAGCGCCGACGCAATTCCCGACTTCCTGGCGGAGCAGCGCGACGAGGCCCCCGAGGAACTCCAGCACCTTGTTCTGGAGTTTGAGAACTACTGGGAGAGGAAACTCTGGCACCAGCTTACCGATGCCCTCGGCCAGTTCTTCAGTCACCCGGGCAGCAAGCCCCAGCGGCTTTCCTTCTACAAGGTCTTCATCCTCAAGTTTGCGGATAAGATCAACCAGCTTAAGCTTGTCGACCTGGCCTTGAAGGCTGCTACGGAATGCTCTGGTAAGGCATAGTTATACAAGCGTGTGGAGCGGTCTGGGAACTGACGAGGTCTTGATAGATGACGAGGAGCGCCTTACATTCCTCCAAGGAGTCGCAAAGAAGGTGGACAACGAGAACTCACAGGATGCCCTTGTATATGCTTCCGTTGCGGTGGCCAGAGTAAAGTTGGATCTGGAGGATATGGATGGTGCCCGCAAGGACCTCGACACAGCCGAGAGAATACTGGACAGCTTCGACTCCGTTGAGACGATTGTCCACGCAGCGTTCTACGATGCGAACGCCAACTACTACCAGGTAAGCTCGTTGCCCAACTTTTCGAGGGAAGTATAGGACAATTGCTGATATGGTTTCTAAATCCAGCGTAAGATGGAGTTCGCAGCCTACTACCGCAACGCCCTTCTCTACCTCGCCTGCATCGACATCAACTCCCTCACACCCCAGGAGCGACACAGGAGAGCGCTGCACCTCAGCATCGCCGCATTAGTCTCCGACACCATCTACAACTTTGGTGAGCTGCTGCTGCACCCTGTCCTCGACGCTCTCAAGGGCACACAGGATGAGTGGTTCCGCGACCTCCTCTTCGCCTTCAACCGCGGCGACCTCCAGGGCTTCGAGGCTCTCTCGGCTCGCATGCGGGCCAAGCCGTTGCTCGCCGAGAACGCCGGCCACCTCCGTCAGAAGATCTACCTCGCATCCCTCACCGAGGCCGTCTTCCGCCGGCCGCCCCACGACCGCGCCATGTCCTTCGCCGATATCGCTCAGGAGACTAAGGTTCGCCCCAACGAGATCGAGCACCTCATCATGAAGGCCCTGAGCCTGGGTCTGCTGCGCGGCAACATTGACCAGGTCGACGAGGTAGCGCACATCACTTGGGTCCAGCCCAAGGTGCTCGATATGAAGCAGATTGGCAACATGCGCCAGCGGCTGCTCGACTGGGACTCGCAAGTCAACCAGCTCGGTAACTGGATCGAGACTGCCGGCGGCGACGTGTGGGCGGCTTAGTGGACAAGCAGAGGATACCAGGTTTATGGGCGGAAAGGGAAAAGTATGCCTGTAATAAAGGTCTACGGTGGCTAGGGGGAGACCAATGTACACCACTAGACTTAGAAGAGGAATGGAAATCGGCCTCCAAAAAAGGGCCGTTATGATTTTGATGACAATGCTACTGCCCCTTTTCCGATGCGCTAATTCCAAAGCTCAAGACGTTTTTTTTACAATTGTCGTTCCCTAGACTACGCCAGGAATAATGCTGTCAGAGAGACTACGTGACCAAACTCACTTGGTATATCATAAACTTTTTGACTTGGCCGTGGGCTGTCCAAGCACAATGACGGACCCCATGAGCCACGCTGGCCACCACACACCCCAGATGATGACAGGCGTATACATGCCCCAGACATCCCAACCGAAAGCCGCTTCCTTTAGGACCTCGCCAATGCTGATGTTAAAGTACGACGAGACAAAGTACAGCGCCGCGGTCGGGGAGGCGAGCTGGAGAATGGCGGCACAGGCCCAGCGGACGGCAGCGTGGTTTGGCCACGGCCGCATGAAGGACAGCGGGCTGGCCATGACGCCGACGAGGAAGGCGAGTGAGAAGTTGAGGGTCGCCAAAGCCGAGAGGAACATGCCGAGCAAGAGGAGGGAGAAGGACTTGACCAGCTGGTATTGCTGGACCGTGGGGTTGTAGGTGGAGGTGAGGAGCGAGGAGATGAAAAAGGGGAGGGCGCAGTTGGTAAGGGCGAAGGCTGTGTATACTCCGGCAAGCATCTGTGTGGGGTGGAGAGTGAGCATTTGTATCTGTTTGAACTGAGGTGGGTGGGAAAGAGCTTACGTTTGCAGGCATGTGATTAAAGATGTACAATGGCACGACGCCGAGAAATTGGCAAACGGCTACGAGACCCAGAGGAAGAAACAAGTCGCGTTCTACGGCGGGAACAGAAGGTGACGGTGTGCTTGTGCCCTTTGCCGTTTCGAGTACCTCCTGAGACGTAGTACCGTCATTCTCCGATTTCGCCGTCGTGCTGGCCGGAGCTGACGGCTGGTCCTGATGGCCACTCTTCACCCAGAGGGAGATTGCGGTGATGGTGAAGCTGGCGGCCAGAATCATGGCACTCGGTAGATACGTGCCGATGCTCACGAACCTCTCCTTGTGCATGAGAAGGTAGAAGAAGAAGCTCTGATGGAGGTGTTCGAGGAGGTTGTTCAAACTGCGGAATGTTCCTTCAACAAGGCGACCCATCCCCATCTCATCGTGCCACCCTTCGCCAAATGGTTGCAGAGTGACGGCGTCGACGTGATAGGGGATGAAGCTGCTGTGGGGACCAGAGGCGTGGCCGAGCCCCTGATTTAACATACCGCGGAGCATCGTTAGGAGTCGGTCCCGGTACTTGTCAGAGTGTGACCACATCTCCTGAATGGCGGTGCCCATGCCCATCTGGCCACCCGCGATATTGACGACGGAGTTTATGAGGTCCAGATTGGGGAGCTGGCCGTTGATACCGTCGTAGATGATGTGAATAGACTCGAAGCGGTGTTCTTGGGGGTAGTCGATTGCGATGGCGCCCTGCAAAGCGCCGGATTTGAGTGGAAGCGAATTCACACGGGAAGAGTCGTGCGAGTCGTGGTATGCGTCGACCCAAGCCTGGGTGCCCGTCCTACTGTCCGGAGGAATGACAAGGATGATATCCTTGGACCATAATGACCACCGCTTGAAGTACCTCGCCAGTGTCAGCGCCAGCGGAAGGCCGTTCTGGTTGAACTTGTCGTCGACCGTCTTCCAGGCCGCGATGAGCACAATCGCCTCCGTGGCATCGCCGCGAGGAGCTTGAAGAATGGCGTATATGTTTTCTCCAGTGTATACGTCGCCGGCGGATTCGTATGTGTAGTTTTGGCGGCCGACCTTCAAGCCAACGCTCTTGAGGATGCCTTCGAGCTTGTCGTTAATTCTGTGATACCCCATTGATTAGCCAAAGATACAATACTGCCGCGAAGGCAACATTGTGGTGCGCCCTACTCGTAATTGGACTTGTCTCTGACGGAGTTGACCTCATGCTTATACGCCCGCAACACATGCTGATCACTTCCCCCGAAATACGTGTGCACTTGGCCCGGAAGCAGCGCATTCTCGGAAATGTAGGTTCGTCGAGAATAGTCGCTTAGAGGCAAGAGAAACAGCCATGCGATTCCGCCTAAAATGCATGCTAACGAGATGTAGGGCGGGAGCTTGAGGATGCGCGGATCGCGACGCAACGACAATGCCGAAGCTAGATAGATGCGATGCCAGGTCAGCTACAACATAGCCAAGAGCAGAGGAGGGATCAAGGGGTTCCTTGTGTATCCTCACATATTAGTCGCGACATGACGGAGACTGTTCTTCTGCAGCTCCCGGAAGCTGCGCAATCGCACAGTTAGGTCGTCTTTGCTGTGCGGTGACTTTCCGTAAGGACAACCGTCATCTTCAAAGATGGGTTGTAAGGGCGTCCCGGGGGTGGAGGCAGTGATCGAGGTACGTAGTACAAGTGACAGGAGTGCCCATATATTCAATTATCCGGGCGCGTCCCCTCGCGTTCCATTCCCGACTTTAGCTCAAGCCTCGGGCGATTCTATCCGCCAGGTACCTAGACTTTTTAGTGGACCCAGGAGCACGGAGGCACTAATCCCCGTCACCTGTGAGCGGTGAAGCAACTTTTCTGTGGCTCACCACCAGAATTCTGCCCCGCCATCGCCATCTCGAGTATCAATTTTGGGATTCTGCCACCCTCCCCAATCGATTCCCGACGCAACTACGACAACTCACATACCATAAGCGCTTTCTCTCGTCGTATTCGGCGAACCGGCAAAATGGGTGTCACCAACAAGAAAACCTTGACCAAGACACGCAGAAAGACAAGGTAAGGAATTTTGCAGGAGCAAACCACGGTCAAAAATTCGCATCCGTCTCTCGGTTCCTAACAAATCATACTACAGGGATGTCGATCAGATCAAGGCCGACTTGCGCTCGCCGCGCCACCTCCAACGTTTCACGGGATCAAAAGCGAAGGAGGATCTTCCGGGATTGGGTCAACACTATTGTGTCGAATGCGCCAAATGGTTTGAGACCGAGGTCAGCCTCGTGGGCCACCGTAAAGCAAAGCCTCACAAGCGCAGGTTCGTCTTCTCATACACCGCTACGCCTTCAACTGGCCTATCCATGCTCTTGTCCGTTGCGGCCCCGCTAACCTAGACATTTCCAGGGTCAAGCAGCTGAAGGAGGAACCGTATACCCAGAAAGAGGCAGAGGCCGTCGTTGGCATTCGTACAGACGACAAAGGTCCCAACAAGGATGGCCCCGAGAAGGCCCTCGACCAGGAGATCGAGATGGAGACCTGAGATGTGTCTGCCTCTTGCCAATAAGTCTACCGTGGCTCCAGAGTAGACGCTAGATGATACCCTTTCACGACATAATGTACTGGACTTTCCATCACCCCTTTCTCGTTACAGCACCCTGAAGGGCCGTGGTCGGGAAGTTGAGATCCAGCTTATGATGGCTCGGGGCGTGGACAAGTAAGCGGCAGCGATGTTGCTAGTAGTAAAGTTTCACAGAGGGCGTTTGTTGAAGTACTTTCATCGGACGCCACGACCGCGTGGTCTGACGATACCAGTACCCCGACCTCTCGTTGTCTCGGAGCCTCCGCGGCCTCCCGCGCGACCGCGCGTTGTGCCTCCACGTGTAGCAGGTGCCGGCACGCGGGAACCTCCAGTAGCGGTGCTGGGGGTCTTGTATTTCGGGGTTGATTTGGATGCTGCGGGTGGGTTCTCGACGAACGAAACGTCGGTGGTCCTGTGAGTGGTTAGCAGGATGCTTGTGAAGCTCCCAACGAGGAAACTTAGGGTATGGATAAGTACATAAAAGTCGTCTCGCCTTCAAAATCATTGCTAGGCTTTTCAAACGCGCGAGGAATACCTGTGAATGTGCATGTTAGAAAAACCGCCAAGGTGGCCACCAGAGATTGTTTGAGGATCATACCTGATCCTGCGGCTGTGTTCATCTCTTCTTGCAGCTTTGCCCTTTTGAAGGACTCTGGAACGGGACCCTTGGGGAGAAAACGTCAGCATGGCTACTGAGCCGGAAAATGCCTGATGGAACAAGGGTACCTCTTGGAAATCAACGCAAAAGGCGTTCATGTTCAAGCCGTACATGAAACTCGCAAACGACTCGCTGAAGCGGGCCAGACTCTCATGCATCAGCTGGAAGTGCATCATGTTGGCCTCGAGGTCGGCCATGGCGTCTGAGAGCTCAGCAAAGGCGGGCTCAAAGGTGTTGAGTGGGAACGACTCGCCGCCGCCGTGGACGCTGTCCCTGGCGGATTCGCGAAAGGAGGATCGCGAGGAAGGGCGCAGGGGCGTGGTCGGGCGCATGGGGGTTGTGGGACGGGAGTTGCGTGTGCGCGAGGCGGATCGCTTTTCGTTTGCATCGTAGTCTGCCATGATGGGCGGTCGGGAATGGGTTGTGCTGTGTGCAATACCTTGCTGGGGAACTCGGTGAAAAAGAGGTCGTCAGATGCGTCGGTGTCGGTGGCAGCTGTTTGTGCAACGCGGGGTGTCGAAGTAAGGTAGTTGTGGGGTATGATGGTGAAATGGAGCTGTGGTTGCTGGTTAATGGAAGTTCAATTGAATGTCAACATCAACAAATGATTTGGTGCCCGACGTCAGGTGTACCGTGTGCTACAAGGCACCTCACGGCTGGTGGACTGTGTTTTTTTTTTTTTTAAATCCTGGCGGGGTTCAATGGAAACTTCCAATGGTATGGCCCCCGCACTCAGCGCAAAACAAAAAACTGCAGCTCAGCACGTGTAGGTGCTGTAAGAACGGCCCGTCATCTCTACAAGACCCCGGCGGACAGCTAGTCATCAGGCGGGATGACGCAAAATTGGGTTTCCTCAGGGCCATCCCTGGTGCTGGGACTTTGGCTGGCAGAGCTGAGATCCCAATTTCTAGGTACTCCGTACTACCTAAAATCCATCGAGCGCGTCTCGCGTAGCTCGGCCCCGAAGTTCCATTACGGATTAAGGTACCTCCATTTAGAACTGGGGGAGTTTCCATGTTCACGTTCGCTCAACTAGGGAGGAGGCGCGCACAGGCAAGGTACCTACCTACCTTGCGTGAGCGTCCCTGCCTCATCGCATCCGACGGGAGGTCGCGTGGCCATTTCTGATGACTTTGGTGGACCTGCTGAAATAAGGAAGGTACGGAACCCGATCCAATACTCGCACTCACACTTCCCTCGCGACCCTAAGCCTCTTCTGAGATACCTTACGCATTCGAATACGTCGTATTTTCCATTGTGCTCGTTTTCCACAGCGTTTATTACGTTCAATACTTTGCGAACCTGAACGACCTGACCCGGCCACCACTGTCCCCATTTCACTGCAAAAGGTTGCGCCCATTCCCCGCTCCCAACGACATCCCACCTCAACCTATACAGTCCTTCCCGGTCTCCTTGCTGAGTCCGCAAAGCTGTCTCCCTCCCACCCCACATCAGCACGATACCTTAGCTCGCCAGCCCAGATTCAAGGTACATTAGGCAAATCCACAGCTGACACCCAGTTACTACAATAAAAGACACAAACTAATAAGGCACCTAAGTATACTCTTGGAAGCTGTGCCAATCCGGCACGCTCGGAAATTGAATATCGCCTGCGTCCACCAACTCCATTAGAAGTTTGGCCAGCATCCTCCAGCGCTCGTCCCGCGCAACGCTGCGCTTTTTGTCCCGGAGCTGTCGTCGTCCTCGTCCAGGCTCCTCCCTCTCGGCCGCGTCTAAGCCTCCCTCAATCCCCGTCGCCCCCGACTTTCCTCTTTACTCAAAGCTCCGTCCGCAACGCTGCCCCTCCGTCGCACATTCACTGCCCACGTAATAGGCCCAGTCTCACTGCTCTATCCGTCATCCTCTCACCTTACTCCGTAAATTACCTTCGGCTGCTTCAACACTCGTCTCGACTTTGTTCCTCTCGTCTTCTCTCTGCATTGTCATTCCTTGGCTGCCAACCGCACAGACGCCTGTTCGTAAACTCCATCAGCCGCGTAACCAAAGTAGGTACCTACCCTAGTCAATCCCCAATCCTCACAACCCCTCCATACCTTAACTCCCCTCCGGCGCATGTCAGCCACCCAGTCTGTCCCTCCCTCCCGTCACTTCAACCTCCGGCGCAAGCCATATTCCGGCCATCCGCGCATCACTCGGCTTGTCTCTTTTCACCTTGCCAAATTTCCTCTCCAGTCCGCCGCCATTTGCCAACGCACTACACTTTGGGATGACCCTGCTGACCCCGTCTCAGCACCACCAATATAGTCCAGAGCATTGACTGACGTCGTCGACTGATGCCGGTCAGTTTGAAACCACAAACCTCGGCTTTGCCTCGAATTTTCACGTTTCCACAAAGCTCCCTCCAGTACACTTCGGGGAGCCGCCTTGCACAACTGCCATTGACTTCGCGATTTGGACGGCAACTCCTAGTCAGACCCTGTGTCCGGAAATTCAACTATCCCTCCAAACCCTCAAATTACAGACGATTCCAACCACTCGGATCACCACAGTCACAGGGCCTCCCCAACCTCAAGAACCCGCGTGTCCTCCTCGAGTCTCGGGTTGACATCGTCCTCTGTTCTGTCGCCGTTGCTCTTGCCTGCGCATACGGCCTGCTTTACCAGCAAACCACCGGTTCCAACCCTGACCCTCAACCAGACACCGAGATCTCAGAACTTCACCCTTCAGACATCATGGCGACGGATATTCCCCCTGGGAGACCGGGCAACCTCACGCCGGAGCAGGAGGACAAGTTGCGCCAACTGTGGAACCTGATTTTGTCCCTGGGAGAGGAAACCAGCACCGCCGCTGCAGACAGCGCGTCTGCGAGCATAGCCCCGAGCGAGACGTCGGCCGCCGAAAAAGGTGACAAGCCCAAGAAGAAGCGCACTTCGCTATTCAGCCGCAAGGACAAGAAAGAGGGCGCCGCGACATCGACCGCTATTCCAGCTGGCATCAAAGAGGATGGTGGTGACAAGTACGGTCAAACGGCCCAGTTCAAAGAGGCTTTGGCCAACCAGAGTCCCGAAGCTTTGCGCGCCACGATATGGTCCATGGTCAAGCATGACCATCCCGATGCTCTTGCCCTGCGATTCCTGAGAGCACGCAAGTGGGACGTTGAGAAAGCTTTCGTCATGATGATCTCCACCATGCACTGGAGATTAACGGAGATGAAGGTTGACGACGAAATCATGAAGAATGGTGAGGCTGGTGCGCTGGAAGCCGCGCAAAATTCCGACCCCAAGATCAAGCAGCTGGGCGAGGACTTCATGACCCAGGCTCGGTCAGGCAAGACCTTCATCCATGGCCTCGATAAGGGAGGACGCCCGATCTGCCAGGTCAGGGTGCGCATGCACAGGCAGGGGGAGCAATGCGAGGAGAGTCTCGAGAAGTATACTGTCTTCTTGATTGAGACAGCTCGTATGGTCCTGGCTCCTCCCGTCGATACTGCGGTAAGTTGATCCGTGTTTTGGTGGTTTGGCTGGTGCTAACGAGACAAAGACAATCGTATTCGATATGACCGGCTTTTCACTGGCAAACATGGTTAGTCACCCCCGTACAACGCGGCTTGGTGAAATATCTTCTTACCATTACTCTAGGACTACGCCCCTGTGAAATTCATGATCAAGTGCTTCGAGGCAAACTACCCCGAATCTCTCGGTGCCGTTTTGGTGCACAAGGCCCCTTGGGTCTTCCAAGGTTTGTTTACCCCATGATTGATCTTCAAGTAACACAGCTAAGCAATGATCAGGTATCTGGAAGATTATCAAGGGCTGGCTGGATCCGGTCGTGGCTGCCAAAGTTCACTTCACCAACAACGTCAAGGAAATGTCAGAGTTCATCGAGCCAAGCCACATCCTCAAGGAGCTCGACGGCCAGGAGAACTGGGACTACAAGTACCTGGAGCCAGTCGCTGGAGAGAATGACAAGATGAAGGATACGACAACAAGAGACGCGCTGCTTTCTGGCAGAGAAGAACTCATCCACGAGTATGAGGAGACAACCATTCAGTGGATCAAAGAGGCCGGAACAGACAAGGAGGCAGCCATCAAGGCACAGCGCGAGGACCTTGCTCGCAAACTCAGGGATGACTACTGGAAGCTCGACCCTTACCTCCGAGCAAAGTGTGTCCTGGATCGGACTGGCGTTATCCAGGACGGTGGCAAGATCGACATGTACTCGAAGGGGGCACCTGCTCCCGTCGCTGCCGCTGCTCCTACGCCGGCTGCCGCCCCCGCCCCTGCGCCAACCAACGGAGCACCCGCGGTCGAGACATCGGCCGATGATGTAGACTAGAGACCGGCTCGACCGGCATCCAATTAGAATCACGAAGGACGTACACGCAGGTTATGAGAATTGGTTGGGTGTAAAGGAGGTTGAAAGAGCCAGGGACGTTGAATTACGGGGAACTGATATCCCTGCTATCGGTTTAAGGGCGGGGGTGTCGAAAATACCACAATTGGCTTCTCTACATCTTGGACTTAATATCCTCAAAGAGGGCCTTGAGCTTGTCCATGTCGGTCGCCTGCTGCGGCCAGCCGACGCCGAGACCCTCGGTCTCATTTGGCTTGGGGATCTCCAATGGGTGTTAGTACGAGAGTATGAGGCGTTGGCGAGAAGTGTTACCATGTGGAAGTGAACCTATGATAATTAGCCATGATGAATAGGAAGGTGGATGAATAAAGGAGGAACACTCACGTGGTCGACGACTTGGTGGGCGATACGGCCATTGTTTTGAAGAATGTTGTAATCGGTGGCACCGGTAGCGGCGACGAGCTTCTTCACAACAGGCTGCGATAACGTAGGGTCAGAGTGAACGGAACACACACACACACGGGGGGCGCGAGAGGTCGAAGGAGAAACTTACGAGAACTTCACTGAGCTGATCGTCGGGAATATCAGACAACTTGGCACCGTGGTGCTTGGGAATGACAAGCTGCGGGGGAACAATGTAAGTCTATAATTACAGGACGTTTACAAGATGGGCAATTCTTACAGCATGGCCGCGGCTGAGGGGGTTGATGTCGAGGAACGCGAGTGTCTTTTCGCTCTCAAAGAGCTTAAAGCAGGGAATCTCGCCTGGAGGGAACAAATGTCAGTTGGTTTCTGCGGTTGCGGGGGTTCGGAGATGTCTTGGGGTTGGAATCAAGTGAGCGGGAATTGGGGGGATAACCACAGACCCTTGATGATCTTGCAAAAGATGCACGAAGCCAGGCTGGAGGTCATGATGGCGTTGGTGAGGTTATGTGTTTGTGAACTGAAAGATTAGACAAGTTGAAAATTGTCGTGTCAATTGCGAGAGGAAAAGGGAGAGGATGATGACCAAGTATGAGCAAAAGGAAGGATTGAAGAGAGATGCGGAGGGCATATGCACCTCAGTGAGGTGAGGGTGGGCGGGGATACGGAAGCTGAGGAAGCTTGTGTGGGGTCCATTCGGCGCGCTACTACTGCGACCGGGGACTGGGAGGGAGGCTCAGGGTACTTGACGAGCAAAAAACCCCCAAAATTTCGGAGTGGGACCTCCTATCGAACTCACCTCTTGCCTTTTACCAGATGTGACCGTTGGATGGCCCAACAGACTCCATTCCACCAATCTTTGGCACACCCTCATCTGGATCACCCAGGTTCGAATTTTTGTTTTTCGCGTTTTTGAACGTCTGCTCGATGGATCCTACTTGTCGCTTTTTCTTTGCGACGGATTTTGCATTGTGCAGTGCCCTTTTTGTAAAGCAGTTATTGAACTGATTGAACAGCGCATCAGCTCGCTGGGCGGCGCGCGCGGCACTGGGAAGAGAGCGACTCGACCAACAGCAGCACAGCGCAGCGCAGCCTGTGGCGCGGAGTTGCTGGAGGAGCTGCTGCAGTCTGCACGAGTGACCTACCTCGAGACCTGATCCCGGGCACCATCGTCGTCATACCCCTCCTTGTGAAGGTGCTGCGCAACGCCAGGTCCTTTTTTTTCTACCCAAGCCGACGTAACCCCACCTTGGAATGACTGAACAGAAACCCTGGTGCTCTCGGCACCTGCAAGCAAGGCAGCCAACATGAGGCAAGGCGGGCGGGCAGTCAGACCAGAAAAGAGTGTAGTTCTTCCTCAAGTGACATTCTCCTACCCATTGCCGTAAACTCTTTTGTGATACCCAGCCCGTCCCGCCCGCATCCTGATTGAATCCCCCGCCAGACCAGCTCCATCAGGTTACATACTGTAAACTTCATCGACCGCAACCTTTGCGCCAGCCCCGTATATATCTTCACAACAACATCGACGAAGAAGCCCATTCTACAAAGGAGGGCAGATTATCCTATCGAAGCAACTGCTTCATTCAGTCACGACAAACCTCCTCCCGTTCCCGAAAGCGACATCATGACCCGATACAAAAGCACCCCCCTCTACGGCGGCGCTCTGGTCAGCGACTTGCCCGACAAGTTCGCCGACGTCAGGTTAGTCTTCTCTCTCTCTCTCTCCATCCATCACCATCCCCCTTGTCCTTCTGGCGAGAGCCTCAAGCAAAGCCTCTGTTCCTTCCAACTGACACACCTACCCGATTAGCAAACTCCGCGAGGTCCCCGACAACCAAGAAGTCTGGATCGACTCGGACGGCTTCACAAGCATAATCTTTGACATCACAGAACGCGTCGGCCCCGCCGGCTCCAGCCCCGAAATCGACGGCCGCGCCCTGACGACGCACCTCGAGGAGCTCGTCGGCGAGGAGGACGTCGACACCGTCAAGGTGTGGAACACCACCGAGACCTCCTTTTCGCGCCTCAGCACCGATATCCCAGCCTACACCCTCATCGCGACGCAGACCCCGCATGTCTCCAAGTCTTCTTCCTCAAGGTCGTCGTCGGCGCCTGATTTTACGGCTATTATTCTTACGCTTGTAAGGCTTGAGAAGGAGTCGACTGATATTTTGGTGACGATTAATGTGCCGCATATCAAGGGCGAGTATGATGAGGCTGATGTTGATTTGGAGCTGGGTAAGCAGGGAAAGTTGATTGGGGATGCGGTTGAGTATGCTGCGCGGATTTGGGAGACGTTCAAGGTCAAGGACTGGACTCTGTTCCAGGAGGTTTGAGAGAGGAGGAGAAGAGGGTTCGATAAAAGGCAAGGGAAGAAGGAAGGGTCATCCCCAGAGTGGAAGACGGATGGAAGTGTTGGGGGAAGATACACACCCCACGAAAAGCAGTTGACAGGTTTGGGTATTCCCCTTTCCCCGCCACGGACGTCAACGCGAGGAAGGAGGATGGTGAAAGTTGACGATGATGCGAGATGATAGCCACGCCATCTCCTAGGTTCTTTAGGTTTTACTGGTTGAATTATTCTATGCCGAGAATTATGATAACTATCAAAAAATTAAAGTGAAGTTTATGATTGTCTATATCCAAACATTCTCCTTTAATTTCTTATTGTTTCGACCACTGTCTACGTGGATATGAAGAGCTATTAGATATTGGGACCATTCTTCATCGATAATTGACTGCTGGGCTGCAGAATATCCGATAGCTAGGCCAGCAAGCCCCAAGTATTGCACTCGTTCTCGAATGTGTCGGCGAAACTACACAGGCAGAAGAAATCCGACTCCGGTGACAATCTAACGCAAAGAGAAACCAGAGAAAATAAAAATTCTCGTCCACTCTCCCTACCAATGTCAACTTTGTCTCTCTCAATCTCCCACGGACTTTGATAAGGGCCCTCCAACCCCGTATTCATAGCTAATCTTGTTCACAAGGTGGAAAAGAATGGCGTCGTCTTCTATACCTCGATAGTCCACCAAACGTCGACCTTAACACTGTGACTGTTGACTACAACACGTAACAATCATCTTGCTTGTGATAGAATGTAAATCTTTCCACGCCCGTGGCCTGTGAAGCTTCCCCGGTCCCGACGTGTGAGGTCGATCTTATCAAAGGAATGCAGGAGTACTTAAACATCTGCCAGATTTCTTCTCAATCCTTTTTTTATTATTATCTAACTTCTGAAGAAAACACGCCCCTGGACTAGAAACTCGTCTTGCTGTCAAGACTTTGAAAAAGTTAACGAGGACAATTTCATATTGATTATTAATACCATTAACGTTGTTTAAGTATCCTTACAGCATCCTAGTGGGTATTCACAGAAGAACAGGAGAGGTGGTTTTTGAGTTGAAACCCCTTCACATTCGACTAGAAATAGAAACATTCAATAGCTATTTTATTTACCCAATAGTTATCTTACTTATGATGGAGAGGCTTGCAGTTGATAACAAGAAAGCACAGTGCTTATCAACGAGTGAGTGTCCTTCTAATACTACCTACGCGATGTTCCCTTTCCCGGCTAGATATGCCACTCACAATCTCTTTATAAACCCAGCACCCAGCCAGTGGGCGGGCGCCATTTATACTCTCCGAGATTGACGTTGGGACAGATCTCGGATTATTCCCAATATGCAGGGAGGCTTGACCTCACCGACAATGATATAACCACTAGCGACCGCAAAGTTGATGGAGTACCTGCTCGTGAAGTTTCAGCTGTGTGGGCCATTTCCTCCAAGACGAGATCTCCCTACGGCAAATAAGTAGCCTTGTCGCGCTCCACCTCCGCGGTCTCCTGGGATGCGTCTTGGTCCATGAGGTAAATGAGCTCGGCGTAGGTCAAGATTGATTTCTTGACGGCTCTTGACAAAAGCTGCAACTCCTTCCTGATGTAGGCACACGCTTCGAGTAACTTCTTCGCGCGGTGCGCTTCCTCCTCCTCGAGCATGGACACGTGCTCTGCGTGCGACTCTTAAGGCATGTTTCTTAAAGAATACACAGAGAGCGAGGGCCTTGGATGAAAGAAGAAGAAGATCGTCGGTAGCACTGGTAAAAATAGAGGCAAGGAAGGTGTTGAGCAGGAGGTTAGTGCCTGGCATGAAACCACTTGGGCATCTATACAACTTCTCACAAACCCATTGGTGGCTCGGCTCTGGGAGTAGCTATGTGCTTGCTCCTATGTCACTTGATGAGCCTAGACAAGTTCACCTTTGTTGATGATGGCATTCTCATGCTTATGATGATGATATTCCAGGCCACGGGGTATAAATTGAGCAACCCACAAGCGGTGGTGATTAACTTTGAAGCAATGCGGGAGAACTACATGGATCCTGCCTAGTTTGAACGCCTATTCCTCATGCCCTCCTCTTACAACGTCAAATCTACCAGCTGAGACCCAATCTTGTTCACATCCGCCTCCGAGTCGGGTGTCGCCCGGGCACTACCACCTCGTTTTGCCCACCGCTCTGCAATGATCTTCATCACCTCCTTCTGTGGACTCCCCAGGTGTTCCTTCTTCACCACCTTCATCTGCTCTTTGAAGAACTGCTGATACTCGGACGGCTTCCCGGCGGCTCTGGGCGTCGGTTTCGTCTGCTTCAACTGCGCCTTGCAGGAGCCACACCTATGGCGCTCCGGGTTGATGCTCTTGGAGTGGCGCTTGTACTCGAGGCCGCATTCGGTGCACTCCCACACGTACTTGAAATCGATCTCGTACGAGTGCTTCGTCGTCACCTCGATGCCCCGATCCCCGAACCGCTGGGAACACTTGGCCGCCCAGATCTTGAATTCTTTGCCGTGCGGGTTGCCAGTGATGCCGTTGACCATGAAGTTGGCCAGGTGGCAGAATTCGTGTGCGACAACATTGAGAAGACGGTTTTCGTCGTCAATGACCTTCTCCGCGAGTTCAATGGAAGCGTGATGCTTGTGTGTGACTGATTTCTCAGACCCGTCGGCGTGCTTGGTGCGGATAGTTTCGCGCCTCCAATTCGCTCTTCCTGCTGTGGTGTTGAGTTTGGCCGACCATTGGATCTTGACTCCTCCTGTGGACTCGGCCAGAGACTGCAGCTTGCCCTGGGTGATGGTTTCGTCAAGTTCCTGGAGGAAGGCCTGCGCGACGTCGTGTTTCCTTTGCTCGAAGGCCTTCTTGCTTTCCTTTCGGTTGGCCGTAGCTGTCTTCTGTTCTTTTGCCTTTTCGGGACTTTTCGTCGGACTTCTTTGGGCAGGAGGCAAGATCAGTTTCTTGGGCGAGTGCTCCTCGTTCCACTCATCCACAAACTCCTGACTCCAAAACATATCCATGCCAGGTCCATGGGGTGTCTTTGGAATACCTGGGAGCTTCTTGGGAGATACCAGCGACTTGCTGGATGGTCTAGGTGGTGTCAATGGTGGGGTTTTTGGTGGAGCGTCATCTTTTCTAGCCTTGCTCTGCTTCTTTGGTGGTTCGGCTGTGCTGCATCATGGTGTCAGTATGGTCATAATGCCACTTACGAGACGGCTCTTACATGTCTAGCCGGCGAAGAGTATCCGCCATATCGTCAGTGAGATCTACGATCGCTGACTGTGGCCGTGTCGTTTTCTTCCCAGGTACAATCTCGGTGCTTCGCTCCTTCGGTTTGGTGATTTGTCGAGACCTGCTTTGACTGGATGGCTTGGGTTTTGGGAAGTTGCCTTCTGGTGCAGGTTTCGCGACTGGCTGGTGCTCCTTCTGTCTCGGTGCGGTTGTCTCCTGACTGCGGCCCGATACTGGACCACGAGCCCTCGAGGCCGTAGAGTCATTGCCAAAGAGTGTCGGGGTACTATCGTCCTCGAACTCTGATGCGGAGTCCCCAAAGAATTCAGATATGTCGGCCTCGGTAATCTCGGTCTGCTCGTTCGTGCTACCGTCTGATTCGTCGTCTGACTTTGATGATGAATTCCCCGTTGGCGTTGCGTCCCGACTTCTAACACGCAGCTCCCTCACGCCAACGCGGGGCGCCTCTTTGGATTTGTTAGGAACATCGAAGAGGTTCTGGCCTTCGTTTCTCGACGAAAAAGTCCCGAATGGTCTCAACAAGGGGTTGTCTGCCTTTCCACCAAGCTTTCGACGTCGGACTGTCGGCGGCGCAGCCTTGACTGCTGGTTTCCCGACACCGGAGTCTTTCAACTTCGCTTCATTCCACTGAAGAGCTTCCTCTTCGAGCTGTCTCGACGGTGAAGCATCGTCGTCACTATCAATGCTGGTGGTCGTTGTCTGTGCAGGTGCTTTCGTCGGCCGGCGAAATTGTTTACTTCTCTGCAGGACGGCATCTAGGTCGGGGAATTCGTCCTCACTGGACGAGGCAAAGTCGATGTACCCGGTCATGATGGTGAAATAATCGTCGCTTATAGTTGTAAGTCAGATTCCCTCTTCAAGTCTGGTTGGCTTGGATGTGGCTTGACATTGCCAGAAAGTATTGCAGAGCCGCCTTGTAGATCGGTGCATGTCTCTTCGTTGCGAGGGGCAACCGTTCGCTGGAAGTGGAATGGCCATTCTGGAAGATTGCCCAATCAAGCTGGTGGAGGACGGTTGGCACGTGACTTGGAGGCCGTGGCATGCAGACACGTGACAACATTAGATGAAGTGGTGAGTACCGCTTAGATACCTACCGGGGGTGAGGTAAAGCAATATGAGAAACCCGATGAGCTTTTTGCTGGAAATCATGAATCACTCCGATAATTAAGCTCTGTGTTGAGCATGGTATCTTCAACTTGTTCGCTTCTACTGAAGAGCCCTAGAGGCTAGGTGTAGTCTCCCGTCAGAGCATCAACTGTCAAGGAGCTTTCAGATCACGGTTCGGACCAAGCATGGCCGTTCGAGGCTAGTCCTGGGTTGACAGGCCCCAGGTACCCCTGCAAAGCTGAAGCTTGATGCATTCGAGAAACGATACTGCACAGCCCTGGACGGAACAACAGAATACGTTACAGAGTTGTCCATCAGGACCATCACCAAAAGGGAGACCTGGAGCACACCGACCTTTTGATAGCCAGCCCAGCGTCGCGAGAGATGCCGCCGCGGAGTCTTACAGGCTAGTCGCCATGAGATCTACCAAGGACAGTGGAAGATGCGACAGGATTGTCCTGTAATGCAGCGGTCGATCAGGGACGGGGGGGGGGGGGAATGGGTGTGTCAAAACACCGGACCGCTTCTGAGCAGGCAATCGGCACGCACGGAAATTTGATCCCTCTGCCCCAAAGATAAAGTACTGTGTGGCACGGAGGGGGACCCAACCAAATGGAAGCGCGCATTGTTCAGGAAAACAAGATGAGACCCGCACCCGTCAATGGAGGTCGCCAGCGTCCCGAGACTCCTGTCTTCTTGCCGAAGTCTTCAGGAGTCTAGATGCACGCCGTAATAAGGTATCCGTAGGCAGGCAGGCAGAGAAAGGAAATGGGGGAGATGCTGCCCGTGGAGAAAAAGGCCGCGCGGTACGGAGTATGGCATAAGGAGAACGGACTCGAGTCTGAAATTCTGCCCTTGCTACCTTACGGAGTGATTGTTTAACAATCTTATTCCTAATTGCCGTGTCAAGACTCAAGACTCCCCAAGCCAGAAGGAGCGTCCGGACGGTATCTAAC